ACATTCTGTGATTCTGTGAAAGCTAGATACATTGACAGTGATGGATTGATGGAAGGTCCTTATTTAGAGAGTGGATACAAAGAAAGTTTAGGTGCCTGAAAGGAGCCTAGAGTTTCAATTAAAAGTTGTAACCTGTGGTAGAAATTATATTTGCAGCTATCTCATTTGGAAAGCTTGACTCAGTTTATAGCACAGCCCTGAATGCTTGTTTGCCACCTTGTTCTTCCTGCTGCAGGAAAACAGGAAGAGTACAGGTGTGTCTACACTGCAGCCCGAAGAGGTGATTGCAGGATGGTTGTAGCTGCTGGGTACTTCTTGTAGCTTCTCAAGCATATGTGTTGAAAACAAACTGAAATCTTGCCTTTCTGATCTTGCTATGCTGTTCTGATGCTTGAACTAGATAATTTAAGTTTGCTTGTGTGTCATCATGAGTAGACTTAAACATTTGAAGTGCAACACAGGGATGTCATAGCCAAGAAGGTATGTGTATCCACTTAGATAGAAATGGATGTTTTCCTGACTGTGAAGTTCAGTTTTTACAGAATTAATGCATTTTCTTCAATGTATCTGTTGCAGTAAAAAGCTTTACTAAAAATAAGAATTACTAAGAATAGGGGATAATATCAGGTGATTGAATGTGATAGTTGGCTAGTCACAAGTATAAAAGAGTTACATTACGGTTCAACATTCTTGCCATGTGCTAGGAAAAGTGCAGGTCACAGGGTAACATTCTCAAAGCTGGAAGTGGTGTTTGGCTTGCAGCCAAGATGATGCCTTGGAATTTACATTCTTGAAGCTGTATTGGTAAGGTAGGATGGCATGCTTTAACTGGGCAGTAGTGGTAGAAATCTTGTATAGGCAGCATGGCACCATTAAAATTCCTCTAGGAAAGTGGCAGGGTGCAGTATGGAACTGCAGAAGTTTGCTAGTGATACTAAAGGAATCTAGAAAGGTACTGCTAGAAAGTTGATGTTACACTCTGACTTTTGTATTTGTGTAAAGCATATTTACCTTTAGAAGAAAAAAAAAAAAAAGAAAGTAGTTTTGATTACTAGCTGTCCTATTTTTCCTGTATGCAAGTAATGTTTGTTTTGATAAAGGGATACAGCGTTCCTGTCCCAGTCATTCTGTTGAATTTCCTTAGCTGATGGAATATTGAGCCTTAAATATTTCTTTGATTTCTTTACTCTCCCTTACTCCCTGGTCATTTTGCAGGATTATGGCTGAGGTGGTTTAGCAGTCCTTCAGAATAATTCTGCCATTAAATGTCTTTCCACATATATCTCAGTCCCTCACTGCTGGTAACTGTGATCATTTTCAGCTACAGGAGGAGGTTTTGATTGTGGTATCACTGCTAATGAAGTTAGTGCTGACTCTGAACTGGCAGCATAGTAGATAAGCTTGCTGTGTCTGAGAGCAGCATGGAAATATCTTAGTACGTAGGTGATATTAGTTTTTCATTTCATTCCTTCCTGACCCAGAGAACAATAATAAATAGAGCAAATTTCTTGGTTACCTTCCCCGTTCTGTCCTCCCTGCCTCCTAAGAAAACGCATTATCTTTGCCTGTGAAGAGGCGATAGAGAGGAGGCTCTCTGGATGGTAAATTTATGGCAGTCTGCAGCTTAAAACATTAATTTAAATGATCCCGTAAGACACAACAGCAATATATTTGGATCCTCAACACTATGATTTGTTAAAAGAAGTTTGTCAGCTCAGGAGACTACATCAAGTAGGAGCTTCAGCATTTCTGCTGAAGTATTAGCTGTGTTTGTGACATGGAACTTGAAGCATATTAATCTTAACCTGGTACAGGGGTTACCTACATTGATGTGAATTGCAGACTGATGTTTCGCCTTTGGAGGAAAATTTAAAAAAAAGGCTAAATAACAGAAGTAGTGGTTTGGGGTTTTTTTTAAGTTTGTAGATGGGTTTTATTCTGTGATCGTGCATTTGTTTTATTTCATGTCTGAGCATTGTCTTTTCTGTTGGTTGGTTTTGTTGGGGTTGGTTGGGTTTTTTGTTTTGTTTTGTTGGGGTTTTTTTGGAATATGGTGGTGGATCCCCACATACTGAACTGTTAGTGTGTTAGTATAAGTTAACCTCCAACAGGAAGAAGAATCAATTTGGAGCATTAAGGTTTTGTTATTTGTCTTACTGTGTGGTGATGTACCTTACCCTTTTCTTTCCTTCTCTCTTGTTTCAGGTTTATGATGCAGCAGTCAGATGGCTGAAGTATGATGAGCCAAATCGCCAGCCGTACATGGTTGATATTCTTGCTAAAGTCCGGTTTCCTCTTATATCTAAGAACTTCTTAAGTAAAACTGTTCAGGCTGAACCACTTATTCAGGATAACCCAGAATGCCTTAAAATGGTGATCAGTAAGTTGACCTCTAGCTGAAATCTTTAATTTTCTGGCTAATTAAAAAAAATGCTGTGGAATTTTTGAAAATTGTTTGCTTTAAAATTCTCTGACAAAATTTTCACATTAAATTAATCTGACTGTGTTCCCTTTAGGATGCTGCATTTAGTTGAAGTTGGATTAGCAGATTATCATGTAAATAAAACTCAGTTTATGTAACAGAGTGTGACTTTCTTTTCTTTCTCCTAGTTCATGTCAACATGAACTCTATGATGAGATTTTGTCAATGAGTCGTTAGGGTAATTGGAAGCCTTTGGGACAGGCTCATAACTTCAGTATTGTTCATATATGAATTAATAAAATAAATATTTTATGTAAAAAATTTTAATATTACAAAGCTTCCCTAAGCAAATGAGAATTAAGCATATGTTGTGCTGTTTTCATTTCTAATATATACTATCTGAGCTTGCAGACAGTTGCATTCTCAAGGTGCAGATGAGATGGGGAACAAGCTTCACTTTTGTTTTTAGACACCATTTGTGAAATTTTATCATGTAAGAAAGAAAAGCATAGATGTTGATAAATATTCTGGAAGGAATTTTTTTCATTTTGGTAGCCGTTAACTAGTTGGCTTCAGTTTAGTGTAGATGTAAAAAATGGTATGCAACTGTTTTCTTTCAGTCAATGAGCAAGATGCAAATGAACCTATATGTTGGTAAGTATTTGCTGACCATTGACATCTCAGTCATACTTCTTGTGTGACATGGAGTTGGATGCATTGTTTAAGAAATAAGGATTTTTGTTTGCCTGGTTTTAGTGGCTTCTAATGTCACTAATATTTTTGCGTTTTTTGGAGTGTTTCTTAGGAGAATGCTTATTTTCTTAAACCAATTGTAACTAATATTTTGCACTGTCAAGCTAAGAACAAAGTCAGGGGTTTTCATGAGGTACAATAAGCTAGAGATGCCTTCCTTATTAATCAGGAACTGGGGGATGAGGAGGCAGGCATGGTTGACGACTCATTGCATTCAAGTCCGTTCTTTTAATGTTAGTATTGTCCCCTTTAGGCTCCCAGTTCTGCTGTTCCTTTTCTTTGGGTTCACTTCCTTTGCCTGTTGCAATGCAACAAACTTAGTTGCTTGTTAATGGTGGCTAAATGAGCTGGTTGGTAAACTGGTGTACACCATGAATCCATATCCATGTCCTGTTTTCACATGGAGCAGGCAATTGAAAATAGGGTGTAAATCTGGATGTATGCTCCCATCCTCATGTGCTGCTGTGCATTTTTCCCTTTTAAATGAAAACTGTATAGGTGTAGTATAGAAACTTGGTTTCCCCCTTTTCCTTCCCTTTCCTCTCCCCCTCCATCTCTGCCTCTGAAAATAGAAACTTGGTTTCCCCCTTTTCCTTCCCTCTCCCCCTCCATCTCTGCCTCTGAAGCATCCTCTTCCATGTACGAGCTACACTGGATCTGCAATAGTTTGTCTTCCTTCCAGGTGGGATGCGATACCATCTGCTTTCTCCAGAAGACAGAGAAGAGTTACTGGAAGGTACGCGGCCAAGAAGAAAAAAACACGATTATCGCATTGCTTTGTTTGGAGGCTCGCAGCCCCAGTCCTGCAGATATTTTAATCCAAAGGTAATCGTTACCTCAGAATGCATTAACATTCACTGTCTGTAATCTTACATGTTTTATTTGCTGATGATATTAACTAAGACAAACGGTATTAGGAAGGATATATTCCTTGCCTCTTGGCTATACAGCTGGAAGAGTATGGTTAATTAGGTTAATCTGTGTACCTAGATGTAATACTTCATTTTGAATAGAATGATTATATGTTTGTTTATTGGCAAAATTAGATACGGAGTTCTGATAAATCCATCAGAGTTGAGAATCAATTGGTATGTGCATCCCACAGCTGGAAATAAATAAAAGGTCACCAAAACATCAAGCAATCTGTTAGGAATATATGAAGGTCTGTATGCATGTGCATGCATATATGTGTTCAGAGAATAACTCAAAGCAATTTCTTTTTAGCACAAGTTAAATTATTGGCTTGTATGTTAGTGTAGAACCCAGTTTTAGAGTGCAAGTTGGTTTTCATGTGCATTTATTATAAATATGCAACTACTTCTAAATCCCAATGGTTCACAATTTTGTTTGTTCTTAAGAGTATGTAAAGAGAAGAATTGGGAGCCAAGTATTATGTAAATAGAAAAGAGTGAGTTTCTACAACAAAAAAATTAGAGGTGGCCAATTCAGAGCAAGCAAGCTTTGCCTGAAATTTGGTTCCATGTTTCAAGCCACAGGAATGGTGTGTATTTCAGCAACACAGACGAGATGGTCTAGAAACATCAGCTGCATGCAGAAGGACTATGTTTTACCAGGCAAGCACGTGCAGTAACGCAGGAAAAAGTTGCTATCTAAACATCAGGGCTCTCTAAGTTATGAGATCACATACTTGCAATATTTTGTTGCAGAAATTCTGGTTGTTCTAACTCAGCATATTAAATGCTTGTTATAATTTCAAACAATTTTGTGCGTTATCTGTGTGAACTTTATAGTCAATGTGAGCCCTGTCAAATCTAATTCAGAATGAATAAGCCCTTGGGAGGTATTTTTTAACTCATCATTCACATTCCCTTATGTAAGATAAAATTGAAGCCACCTTCTTTGAGCACCACTCAGGTCTGGATAAAAATCTGCCAGCTTTGCTGACTTAGTTTTAGAGACATTAATATGTATTTTTATTGGGGATTCCAAATTCCCAAATAATGACCACCTTTTTCCTTCATACGCATACTCAAGTAAGAAAGCAGTACTCCAGCTGGGGTCAAGGAGGTTAAGGGAACAGAGCAGATAATTTTTGCCTTTCCAAGGTCTGAGCTGGGGAAGCCTTTGATCAGGGCATTCATCCTTTTCAAACAGTTACTTGGTTTTGGTATTTTAACAAGTTGTAATTCACCCAATGTGCTCTGACCTTTCTTTTATTAGAAGGAATTTGGATCAAAGTTTCTTTCTCTTAATCTCTACTTTTGTTGGAACAAAGGTAATTTTAGGCAGGATGGAAACTAGCTTTGAGACCTGTGGTCCCAGTCATTAATTGGCAATGGTATTATCAGCGTAGCGTGCACGTGGTCTCTACCAACCTAACTGATAGGTTAAATTCCCTAAGTGCCTAATGTCACTGGTGGTCAGAACTCAAAAGATGGAGGTTGTTGCTTCATCAGTCTTTATAAAATAATATAAACCCTTCCAGATGTCACCATATATTTTCTGAAAATGTAATCTTGTTTTGAAAAAATATTAATCTCAGTGCATGCTGAGTGAGAGCGACAGGCAAAGACTTACAACTAAAAGGAAAATTATGTATGTAGGTAGGTGATCATCAGTCAGACCTAAACTGTAATATTACAGAGAAATTTGTTTTGTGGACAAAAAGTCATATCTATATTAGTCTACATAAAGCATAGGATAAAATAGCTCATTTTTTCAGAGACTATTCGCACAGATATAACACCAAAAAATAATTGAGTTTGGAAGAAGTTTTTCAGAATTGCCTCTTGATCAAGATTTATGGCCTTGCATGTGGATTAATAGGGTGGTGGCAGGGAAGGAGAAGGAAAAAAAGTGGGTAACTGGAGATCTTGATTCTAACAAGCATGTCTTCCTTGTGTGTATGTGCTTTCTTGGGTAGTCTTAACTAGCCTGTCACGTCTTGTTGGAAGGCTTTACTTACTTCATTTCCAACTCTAAGCTATTTAAAGATCCTTTTCGGGATGTTTTGCTTGAGTATCTGAGTTTGATCTTTAATTAACTGTGACAGTAGCTTCTTAAATGCACCCAGCCAAGGATCCAGAACCCCTGTTGAGTTAGCGTTGTGTGCATGCAAAATAAGTGTGGTATGTAAGGCTCCAGTGCTGCGAAGACTATACTGTGTTTAACTCGCTTTAATACGATGGGAGTGTTACAAAATGGAGAACTAAAGAACTAAAGGACCTTGGAAAAGAATTGAAATTTTGGTTTTTGTCTGTTGAACTGATTGAATAGTGACCTAGTCCTATTTGACTAGCTCAAATTTTTATTTTAATTAAATTATTTAATTAAATTCTTATGTCAGCTAAAGAAACAGTTCAAGACAAAGGTTACGTTTCTCCTGAAAATATTTTCTCAGTTGTGAGTTATATAAATTTCAGTAATTCTAACACTATAAAACTAGTGCAAAAAATCTTAATTTTCACTGATTGCTTTGCATGCAAAATTAGTCTCTAATGTTGATCTTTACTTGGTTGTTGTCGAAAAGGGTTCTTTAAATAAGAATGGATTGGATACTGTGTGTTATTTGTTAGACTGCTGTCAGTATTACTTTAAGTCTGTATTTGTTGTCTTTGTTGCACAGTAACTGATATTTCTATTGATGCATGTACTTAATCAAGAGAGCAAAAATGATGCAACAGGACAGATGCAGATGGGCATAAAACTTGTGGAGCAATCTGGCACTATTTTGAGTAAAGATGTTTGTTTTCAAAGTACCACTATAAATCCCAGCTGTCCCCATTAACGGTGATGGGAATCATTTTCTTGTTGCATTTTCCACAGAATATTTTTTTTCTTTTTTTTCCCCCAAGTTGGGAATAACATACTTTTGTTTTGTGAATTCTTGATAAAATTTACACATTCCTTTATTGGATTTTGAGGCAGCAATATGCTTATTCTTTGGAAATTGCTGTCTCTAGTGACCAGAAATGACTGGAAGTTTTAACTTTTTAACAGTGCAAAATCCAGCAATGGCAAGTAAAAAGTAACAGATGCCTGGCATCACTATTTCTTGATGATTAAGGGAACCAGCATACCTTTCATGAGGAGACAGAGCTGTAGTAAATAAGCTGTTAGTGGGAAGGTTGTCCATATTAGGCACGTCTGCTGTTTTCCCTGACAAACTTGGAAGAGGAGGTATCAACTGAAAATGAGGGCAAGGCCTTACACCAAAGGAGGTACTTTTTCACATGGCCCATAATTATATATGCCATTGCTGTCACAGAGTCTTGTGGCTGCTAGGGGCTCAGATAGTTTTAATAAGTGATTAAATAAATTCATGAAAGATGAAAAAAGCCTTCAAAAACTATTAAATAAAAAGGTACAGCTCCTACCTCTGGTGTCCTGCATCGCAATTTGTTGAAAACCAAGATCAGCTGGGGAAGTATCACCATATACCTAGCTTGTTCTTTCCTTCTTTACTCAGCTCCCCAAAAATGAGGCTTGCCATTGCCCAGGGCTGTGTGGATCTTGACTGTGGCATAAAGCAACTCTCCTGCATAATTGTTAAATGTGTAAAATGCATAAATTGAAATCAATTCTATGTGGTGCAGACTAACACTGAAGAGCATTACAAGAGAATGACTTAAATTGCCTCCTGTTGAAAGAGGAAGATACTGCTGAGTATGCTCAGGCTAAAGGAGAACCTATGGCTTTTCATTTGATAAAGGTGTGGATGAAATGGTAGCTATGACCTGAAGCCATAAAAGTGGGTCAGATCACAGCCCTTTTAAAAAGAAAAGGAAAACAACAGGTTTTTTTTGTAAAAGTGCCAGAAGTTTGAGCTAGAAAATATGTTGATCTTGCACAATGCACTAAGACATTTTCTTAAGATTTATGCAGCTATTTATTTTGCCATGCTGTAGTATGGCTTTCCTTTCTAGGATGCCCCAGGACCTGTTTCTCACCATAAAGGGCCACATGCACCTGCCAGCTCTTCTTGATATGGGGGATGCTACAAGAAAAGATTGTAAGATGTTTTGGACTATAACATGCTCTGCCTCTTTCTTTGAACCCCCATGTAGGAGTCGCTGTTCTTCCTCATTGACCAAGGTGTTTGAAGTTTGTCCTTGCTAAGAAAATGTAATGATGTAACGTCTTGTGTGAACCATTACAATGAAGGTCATTCAGCAAGTTTAGCTAGACCATCCTGAGGTGACACAGATAACAGTTAAGGTCTCATACTTTCCTGTTCAGTATAGGATACAAGCTATGCTCATGGAATATGTGAGATGCTATTACTCAAGAAGTGTTTCTTGTGCTGTACGCTATCCTGGTCTGCCATCAGTTGCTGAGTTTGGTGTTCTTAAGGCAGCATTACTGCCCATATTTGATACCTGCTGGTTTTGCCAATCCATGCAAAATCAGTTTCTAGGCAACACAACTGCCAGTATTTGTGATGGAGCATTACTCTTTTTCATGCTATCAACTGTGGATAGCTATAGATCATTTGTGTTTTGTAAATTCTGTAAATAAGCTTCTAGTTGTCATGGTAATAAAGTATGTATCAGAGCTTTTTAACTGAGTTGCTTGTCAATTTGGATATTATCTTCTCCTTTTTCCACTGTCTTTGTTTAGTACATTCTGTATTTTTTTTTCTTTAGAAACAATCTGTTACTATATGTAAGATGCTGTTTTTCCATTCCTATAAAAGAAAATGCAATTCTACTTTATTGATCACATGCATTGTTTCTGACATAGCAGCAGGAGGTCAATTTTGTTGGAAAAAAAAAAAACAACAAATAAATCTGTTTTTCAGGAAAGCTGTACTGGGTGCACACAGGGAATGAGGAAATAGAAATTGATAATGTCATGGTTCATTGCAGCTAACTATGTCTGTGTCTAAGAGAATTTTTCAAGAGTACGCCTGAGGAGTATTCTTCAATAAACAGTATTCATGTTTGTTTTGAAAAGGAACTTTAAAACTGACCATATCTAAATCTCTATGAAAAAGCTGTGTTTGAAAAACACTCGCTGTGCAGGTAAGTGTTATAATCTATTAGACATTACTTGTTCTTTGTAATGCAGGATTACAGCTGGACAGACATCCGATGTCCCTTTGAAAAGCGCAGGGATGCAGCTTGTGTCTTCTGGGACAACGTAGTTTATATTTTGGGTGGTTCCCAGCTCTTCCCTATAAAGCGAATGGACTGCTACAATGTGGTGAAGGATAGCTGGTATTCCAAGCTAGGACCTCCAACACCTCGAGATAGCCTTGCAGCCTGTGCTGCTGAGGGCAAAATTTATACATCTGGTGGTTCAGAAGTGGGTAAGACACTAAAAATCTTTAAAACAAACAAACAAACAAAAAAAGCACAAAGAAAGATACGTGGAAATTTTTCTGGTTTTTGCATGACTCTTAAAAAAAAAACCCAAAACCAAACCTGCACGTTGCCATCTTAGCCTAATGAGTTTGTTTTCCAATATTTAGGATTTTATCCTCCCTGCAATCCAACAATCTATTTCTGTTGTGTTTTTAAAATGGTTTAACTGATTGAAGTGATTAATATTTCTGTTAACTAGAGCATAAGGGACACTGTAGTTCTTAAGAGGGATTGCAAGTGGGACAAGCAAATGTATTTTGGGAGTCCCACTCTGCTCTTAGCTTACTTCTGTAATTCTGCAGAACTCAGTGTGGTTTGAAATTTTCTGCTATGTTTGGCCAGAAGAGCTGCATTTTGACAGTGGCATTCCTTGTATATTGGGTGCCTAATGAGATTTTTTTTTTTTTTTTTTAAAGATTAAAAAAAAGGGGGTGAAAAAAGCTTTTAAAACTACTGCTTTTGGTGGTGAAATTATACCTGGCCCTGTAAAGGAGTTTGTCCAATTTTCCTATCAAATGACAGAAGTTATCTTCTTTTAGTTTGTTACTCTGTTGGTATATTTCAGTAAATGGAGAAATTCTACTTTCTTTAGATGTTATTACTCATATTAAAAAAATTAAGACCATTAAGGGTTTTTTCTCTCCCCAAGAAACATAGTAGGCAACTTATGCTATGTGATATAGCAATGTTTAAAAATTTGTTTTTTCTACATCCAGTACATCATCAGCAAACCAGAGACTGGGATGGAGGTGTGCTATATTCATAAAAATATAGAGCTTTAAAAAAAAAGGCTGTGTTCTGGGGAAAAAAAGAAAAAAAGGTTTTTTAGTAGATCCTCTTGAGTTCTGCCTTGCTGCAGAGGGAGGTGAGCAGAGGAAAAATGGTCATAATCAGTGCTTAACATTCATAAATCACTTAATGGGAAGTTCTGACGTTTAGTTAATGTTATCTGGCCTCTCAAATATTTTAAGAGGCCCAATGTAGCAGCAGATTAGACAGTTCCTCGCTGCCACCTAGTGTGCTAAATGTAAATGTAAAACTGCACCTTGAAATAGGCTTAAGTAAGGCTGCCTTGGGAAACTGGGAACATTACAAAATCTCATAAATCTTCCTAGTTTCCCACGTGTCAGTTCATGAGGGAGTATGACACAAGCTTTGATTGTATAGTTTATTTTCTAATACGCTGTAATTAGTTAATACAACTGAAATAGAAATTTTAATTTAGGAGTTTTCTTTTAAATCTACCCTCACATTACTGCACAGTTTCACTTTACTTGCCATAAATATTATTCAAGACAGAACAGTAAAAGCTAAAAATTAATAACAGAGTTTATTTTGCCTGTACTTTTTGTCTTCTTTGGAATCCAGTGAACACAGTAAAGGTGTTATTGGCCCTTGAGGGAGGAGTACACAGACCTTGCACTTCCAGAAAATAGGTATCTGCCAGTCCCCAAGAAGGAAGTAAAATGGTGAGGGGTAGCTGTCTCGTGGTTGCTAGTAATTGTTAGGAATATGTTATAACATAATCAAGCTATCTTAATTCCAAAGGCAACAAGTACTCTGGCAATTGGGCGAGTCACAATGCTTAGTGAAAAAAACCTCATGTGAATCTGTGCTAAGTTTACAAAGCTAGTTTCATCTTCACCTCTGAAAGGGAAATATATTTCCAGGTAGTGAGAGTAGCATAAGAAGATGACAATATGATCTGTAATTTATATATATCTCTGTTCAGTGTTTATTTCTGCCCCCCTCAAAAAAAAACCAAACCCAAATAACCCAACATCTTCCTCATTTGTTTTTGTTTTCAAACATAAATAGCAATTTTATAAACTTACTTGCATATTTTGGAACAAAAGAGTCAAAAGAATTACAAGTATGTGCTTTCTGAATAGTCCCAAGTTTCGAGTTGGTTAGTTCTACTTTTGGAGGTGGGAAAGCAGCTTTCCCCTTTCAACTAACAAATAAAGCATCAGCTTGATAATTACTGTTAGACTCTTATCTTGAAAGACAACCATAAAAATTAATGCCACTTTGGTGGGTTTCTTTTTTTTTTCCTTTTTTTTTTTTTTTTTTTTTAAAGGAAATTCTGCACTGTATTTATTTGAATGCTACGACACAAGAACGGAAAGCTGGCACACAAAGCCCAGCATGCTGACTCAGCGATGCAGCCATGGAATGGTAGAGGCGAATGGTCTCATTTATGTATGTGGAGGAAGCTTGGGAAACAATGTTTCTGGAAGAGTCCTAAATTCCTGTGAAGTTTATGATCCTGCCACCGAAACGTACGTATTTTATAAATTCTGATTATTTTTGGCGACTTGTGGCTTTGCTTGCTCTGTAAATAACTAAAGTATAGATGAATAGGAAGAATTGTACGTGGTGAGAAATTTTCCCAAGGTAAGCAGTAATAAATCAGTTATTTGCCGTTTTACTTAAAAGGCAATTTTTTTTAAGCAACTTCATTCCATATTTCATTTTCCTAATGCTAGGTTTTATTTATGTATTTTATACTTATTTTCTAGGAACTAAATAGTGAGTTTTCCTGTTTTGTATGGTTTTCTTCTTCCCCAGGTGGACTGAGCTGTGTCCAATGATTGAAGCAAGGAAGAATCATGGACTGGTGTTTGTAAAGGACAAAATATTTGCTGTGGGTGGACAGAATGGCTTAGGTACTATAAGTCTATTACTTCTCTAGCTGGTCACACAAGGTCTTTTTTCTTTTGCAAAGAATTCATTATACTCTGTTCAGCTGAAAAACTTTTTGCAGTACCATAAAACATGTCCTGTTGCTATCACATCACTGTTGCCATCCTTCTGTCACCTCCCTACTTCATTGTATCTTATTTTTCAAACTCTCTTACTAATGACAGTACTGGCAAATTCAGATAGGCACTCATACTGTAGCCCAGTTCTGCAGTAGCTAATGTGGCTAAACCAGTCATCTGAGAAGATGTATCTTTTGTTGTTGTTCTTCATTATGTATTTTGATAATTTTTAGCATTCTTTTGAGACAGGGAAAGGTGTAGCCACTATTTTAGGAACTTGAGTCTAAAGATTAAAAGCTAGTCAGCTATTTTAAAGTGGTGAAAAAGTGAAAACTTTTTTGATTGCCCTAATTTTGAAATATAACTTAACTGTATGGGCAGGTCATTTTATGATCTGCCTATCTCCTTGTCTTTAAAGCTAGAGCAATAAGCATCATTTATTTCCCAGGAGAATAGAATTTTAATTCACGGGGTTTCTGAAGTGCTTTTCAAGATGGAAAATTCTTAGCTATGAGAATTTTACCCTAGCTATCACTATTTAGGGTAACTACAATATTTTATTTCATATTAATGCTATTTTAGAATATAGTTTGTGTTTTAATTAGCTACTAAAGCTATTCCAGCACGATTGATTCCTAATGCAGATATATCAGCAGACATATTTTTTGCACAAACATTTTATCAACCATTTATAGCCAGGGCTGCCACTTTGCAAAATGTTAATGTAGTCACTGAGTGCTCATTTTGGAAGTGTGTACTATTGAACCAGTAAGTTAAAAGTATTATTTTGCTTTCATATTTTGTAGCTTGACTGAGTAATTGTTCTAATTGTAATATAATGGGGAAGAGTTATGTCTGGGGTGAAATATTTGTACCTGTTAACTTTATATAAAGGTCTCTCAGATTTAGTAATTCAGGACTGAAAGTGAAAACTTTGTGACTCCTATACTACTATTAAATAGGGATAACAGGATGTTTGTAGATATTGTAAAGTGTAACTACTAGCCTGTTTCCTAAAGAAGCAAATCTTAGTCACCAGTTCTACTGTAATAACTTTTTATTCCCTTGGCCCTTTTCAAAGGGACTTAGGTTTTTTACCTGCAATGGTTTTAATATAATGGAGAGAAATCCTCTATCAGTAAATGACCAGTTTAAGTAAAGGTACTGGTGACACCTTTAGAATAAAATGCAATCACTATAAAGAAGTTGCAGGTGGATTCCTAAATTGTATTCCCTAGCCACAAATCCGTAAGAAATTAGTCAATTTTAGTTCTTCTGTTCACAAAGCAACTTTAGAATTTCTAGAAAGTGTATAATGTGAAATTTGTTACAACACATCTCACTTTGTCTCCTTTTTGCTCTTCTCTGTTTCTGTGTTTATAAAAGAGTAAGCCACTAGTTTAGAAACCTGTGGCTTTTTTCACTTTTTAAATTTTTACTCTAGGATTTATGTTTTAATCTAAACCTTGAAAGTAAAGACTAAGTTTAACAAAGCACTTGTATGCTCTAGTTCAGTCCATATGGTATCATGTAATAAGCAGTTATCTATCTCATTGCCTTGTAGGTGGCCTTGATAATGTAGAATATTACGATATCAAGATGAATGAATGGAAGATGGTGTCTCCAATGCCGTGGAAAGGTGTAACAGTGAAGTGTGCTGCTGTGGGATCTATAGTCTATGTCCTGGCTGGTTTTCAGGGTGTGGGTCGATTAGGGCACATTCTTGAATATAATACTGAAACAGACAAGTGGATAGCCAACTCCAAAGTCCGTGCTTTCCCAGTGACAAGTTGTTTAATCTGTGTTGTAGACACTTGTGGGGCAAATGAAGAAACTTTAGAGACCTGAAGACCTGTAGGAGATGCGGAGACATTCTTCAAGGACTTGGGGAAAGATGGCTATTGGTGCTTTGCTTCCATGTTTTACTGGATCTTGTTAAACTGAGTAATAGGAAAAACAGAGATGCAGTCTTTCAGTTTGTATATACAGCATATTGTATAACATGGATTTTGTCACGCCCATTTTCTTGTCTGTTCTAAGAGATGGGGATGTGTTTTGAGAATCCACTTACCTAGCTGAGATCTTATGGCATCTTCCTTTAAAAGGACTCTGTGTGTGGCCTTGTCAAAAATAGACCCAATCCAATTATTTAGAAAAACTCAGAGCATTTGATGAAGATAAGATTTCTGGTTAAATTATACTTTACTGAGCTCAGTTGCAGAGATTCTTCATTTAATAAAGGTGAGTAAATGCAGCTTGGCTATGAGAATTAGGAGCAGAAACTTCTCATATGTACCTACCTGCAGAAATCTTACTAGGATGCAATGAAGATTTTCCTCAGGAAAGACCAAGGACAGCAGTATAATAAAGATTCCCATGGTGCATGGGGATAGGTTTGCAGCTCTCCAGATTATGAAAGCTGCCCTCTTCCACTGACTTCCTTCCATCATTTGTATGACTGCATATAAATTTTTAGACAGGCCATATATAGAGATTAAAGAAACACTTTGCTAGTGACATCTGGCATTTTGGGAAGCTTTTGCAGAAAGACTTTCTTTTTTTATTATTATTCTGAGGTAGAGGGACGGTGGGGGAAGTCCAGAATAATTGTGCACTATAATTAGCAAGTTGGAAACTTGGGATTAATATATTTTCCCAGGCATCAGACTGTACATACAGTGGATGCCAAACCATTAGCAAAGACGGGAATAGGAATGGGAAAGCAAAGTCAATACAACAAATGTATTGATTTTCTTCTTGGAAATGACTGTTTTTAAAATGGCATGAACCAAGTCATTAAAGATACTTTATAGAAGACTTCTAAAGTTGCACATGGTTATTAATCTCTGGTTTATAAGCATATAGTTCTGTAAATGTTTCCAGCCAACATGATAGTAAATTTCTTCCAGCATAGAAGTTTAGCTTGTCAAGCTATTGGTGTCAATTCTGTGTCCATCTTCCCACTTCTGGAAAACTATAGAAACGATGTATGTACATACCTGTCCTGCTCCCATGCTAGCTTATTAATAATTTTCATCCTAATTTTGTCACCTCTCTTCTAACTTGCTAATTTTTTCAGATCTGTTTCTATGAGACTGTTGAGTTAACTTAAAAAGTTGGTGCTTGCCTACCTGTACCTTGTGCAGTGCTGGTGGTGTGGATTTTTTAGTCTGTTTTATTTCTGAAGATCCTCTGGGTTCTCATAGGCAGTATAAATGCCAGTTCACAAAGCCAATGCCTCTTTGTAAACTTCCTCCTCGTTTTCTTTCTCATCCCAACATCTCTGCATGTATGGAAAGTGTAGCAGATGCGCTCCTGGGCTTAGCAGTGGTTGCTGTAAGGCAGCTCTTTGTTCAGTAGTCAGTGAATGCTGTAACACACTTTTTGGGGGGGGTGTACGTTCCCTCTCGCCTTTCCCTTTTTCTGAGCCATGAAACAAATGTCACTGCTGTCTGATCCTTAATTCTGAAATACTGTGAAAACTGGAGTGAGCTGTGCCCTTGTTACGTTGTACGGGCTGCTGGGGTTTTTTCTGTATCCGCCTTTAAAACTGCGCAG